ACTAATTTATTATTTACTTTTTAACTTTTATTTTTGGAGTTTTGCCCAAGATGTTCGTTTTCAATTATTGTCGCAAAATTCAAATAGGTGTAAATATATGTAGCGACTTAATTGTCAACATCCCTATAGTAAAACTAATAGGCCCTAATATAGTTGATATCCTAGTGCACCCTTGTATACAATCAAAATAGTCAATCCAAACACCTCCTCACATATTTTACTTATGTAACATTAAAAGTTTATAATTATAATATATATTAAATAAAAGATTTTTTTTAAAATTTATATTTTTAAGTTTTTTTTAATCTTAACAAAATCTTAAATAATAAATTTAAAAAAATTTTTAAAAAATTTTAAAAAAATTTTTAATTTTATCTTATCTTAAAACAAAATTTTCACACGTTAAGTAAAAATATTTAAATTCTTAATTACTATTGAAATATTTTATAAGAGACAAATTTTAGTCTTTATTGCATAAGTTCAATTCCATTTTAAATTCAATTCGTTCAATTTAATTATAATTTCGTTTAAATTTTGATGTGTTGAAGCACAAAAAAGTTAGCTTTTTTTCTTTCTTTTGACTATTTGGGAATTTTGAGACATAGGGATTTTTTAAAATTATTGGTAAAAGTCAAATTCTTGCAACTAACTAAACACAAATATTAAAATTTGAAAATAAATTATTAAATCTAAAAGTTTAATTCAAAAAAAAAAAGTGAACTTTCTTAATTGTAAGTAATATTAAATTTTAACTCATCTTCTATAGATGGGTAACCATTTAAAAATTATTTTGCAATCAATATAAACTAAAGTAATATTAAATTTTAAATAAAAATTTTTTTTACCACTTTTTCACTTTTTTAAAGTACAAATAAGGTGCCCTTTTTCCACAAATTTTTTCCCTAAACAAACACTTTCTCAATTGATGGCCAAAAAAGAAAAACACTTTCTCAGTTTTTTTATTTTTGGCCAACGCAATTTCTCATTTGTTTTTCTTTTACATTTTTTTATGACAATATTATAGTTATAATATTATGTAAAATTATATATAATTATAAATCTAAAATTACGATATAAACTTAAAAAAATGAATATATAATATTATCAATAAATTTTTAAATAAAAATAATTAATTATATAATAACATATTATATTACAAATTTAAAATCTCATCTGTTATTATAATTATAACATTTTTTATGATTTTTTTTTCTTTTAAAGATCATGGTAAGGTGATATATTAGACAAGTTAATTTATGGCTCTTATCCCCTTCATAATTCCTTAGATCATATAATATATTGGTTAATATTGGTTATAAAATTCCATAGCAAAATAATCATTTTCTAAACACTATATTGCAATAATTACACTTAATTGAACATCAAATTAATCCACATTTAATTTGATACAAAAATATTTAGGTTTTAATTGAAATTTGATTAAAGAGTGCGAAATTATAAACCAAATCATTGAAATTATTGTCATTTTATAGTGGGGCAAAAGGCATCAAATTTGCACCTTTGATTCCCACTAAACTGAAAAGGATGTTGTTATCAAGAAAATGGAACTCCGACACAATTCATTAAATAGCTGCATCCCTAGAAGAATGTTCCCCTATTTTCTTGCAAAGTTGCATTTCCAAAGCGATATGTATTTAATCCAGGTCATTTAGAATTTAATTTTGTTCCAAAAGAAAGGAAAAATCAAGGTTGTATTTCCTCCAACCCAATACCACCTCTAAAGGGGAATTAATATACTCCATTAGTTTGCCCCGGTGTACCGTGTACCTACCTACTTTTTTTTTTTTTTTCATCTCCTAGGGTGACACGAACCCTCTGATTAAAATTTTTTGAATTATTTTGTTTTAAAATTTTTAATAAATTTTTTTATATTTTAAAGATAAAAATGTAATAAATATATTTTTTTATAATTAATTTTTATTAAAAATATAAATATTGACTTTAATTTAATTAATTAACTAATTAAAATTATTCATGTATTAGTAATATTAAAATATATATTAATTTTTATAATTTTTAATATAAATATATTACAAAAATATAGGATAAACAAACTCAATTTTAATTTTGAATTGTTAACAACTTAAGTAATTTAGTAGTAATTTTTTTTCATTGAAAATAAAAAACTCTGAGTTCAAACCGTATGGCATGTAAGTGGGGTAAGGTAAAAAATGAAAAAAAAAAGTTGTTTTCGTTGTGCAACCAACATAAAAAAAAAATTAATTTTGAATTGTGAAATGAGTTGGAGGAATTTGTCAAAGAGTACTACTGTGAAGAAAAAAAAAAGTAAAAATTAAAAGGTATTGATATTAAAATTTAAATTATTAAAATTATGTGTAAAATCATTTAAATATTTTAAATAAATTTTTATTGTATATAATTTATTAAATATATTTATATTTTTTATTATTTTTAATATATAATTGTCAAAAACGTCTCAATTTTTCGCGATTCTATTATCGTCTAGTCTGCATGTCTTTCTTTTTTTTTTTTTTTTTTTTTTTTTTTTTTTTTTTTCTTTTTGGCACTGATGTGAGAAGAAAACAAAAAATATGAAAAGACTGAGTATGCCTATGCAGTTGCGTTGGTAAGCAGAGCTGGAGGAACACTGTGTAGGATACAATGTCCTCTACTCTTCATGATCGGATGTCCTTTTCATTTATGATTAATTACCACTATATATCTTTGACACATTAATTTCTGCCGATTTATAAAATTAATCATTATTCCCAGTGTTTTATTATGGTCCATCTTGGATATGTAGGGTATCCAAGGTCCAAACTCCAAAAAGCTATATGGGGACATGCATTATTCTTAATAATAGCCAGAATGAAAAGAATGTTTAGGCACTACTACTCATGCATGAGATGTCTTTGAGGTCCCAAATTTGTATTTCTCCCAAAATCTTCTCACCGGAGTCTGAGAATCTTGACTTACATTCTTCCTCTTAGACAATGCAACTCCCACTGTGTATCCCTTTCTTTACGGTTTACACTCATCTTTTTTCCTTTTCTTTTGCCTCTTTTGGATTCTTCATATTGCTATGACATGCAAATTAAACATCATGAAGCAACCAAGGACCCCCTT